GGTCAGCAAAGAGCTGGAAGGTAAAGCAGCACAAAGGTAAAGTAGAAGGAGCAGAAAGGGTCAGAAATGAACTGGAAGGGGCAGAAGGAGCACAAAGGTAAAATAGGAGAATGAGCAGGAAGGGCCTGCAAGGAGCAGGAAGGAGCACAAAGGTAAAGGAGCAGAAAGAATCATAAGGAGCACAAAGGTAAAGTAGAAAAGGGAGCAGAAAGGGTCTGCAAGGAGCAGAAAGGGATCAGAATGAGAAAGGAGCAGAAGGGCGCTAAATAAGCAGAAAGTAGCAGAAAGGTAAAAGAGCAGAAGGGGCCAAGGATAGAAAACAGTGTCAGAAGAAAAAAAAAGACTGTCAAATGAAGGAGAGGAAAAGGAGATTGGAGCAGGAAGGACAAATGAAGTGAACCCTCCACTTTATTCTGGACACCATATCATAAGGCTTTGGTACCTGGGCCAGGCAGGGAAACGCTGGACCTTCTCATCTCCAAAGGTAAAAAATATCAGTATTAATGTGTTCACTTTTATTTACTGAGTGTCAGGAAGCACAGAGTGCCGTTGGGTAGGGGTGTTGCTGATTGGCTAGAGCGGTCAGCTGGCACTCTAAGCCAATCCGTAGCTCCCCATTCATAAAAAAGTACAAATATTTTATGAACCTGGAACTAGCGATTGGCTTAGAGCGTCAACTGTCCACTCTAGCCAATCAGCGGCACCCATGCCTGACGTCAATCTCCACTTCCTGACACTGTTTCAGAAGCCAAATACCACTGAGCGACCTGGAGCTGGAGGAAGCCTTTGGGGTTAAACCATTTGAGAGCGATTTAACCCCTTAAAGGAAAGCGAGCACCCAGGGGCTTCCTGGCATCATAGCATTTTCATTTAGGTGAAGTTGTTATGGTGACCAGAATGGTCCTTTAATTTGCTTAAAGGAACACTATAGTGTCAGGAATACAAACATATATTCCTGACACCATAGTTGTGAAAACGCTATTCACGCTGGCTTTATGTGATAATGGCTATGCTCCTTCCCTTTCATGACACTGTCAAAAAGGTACCAAGCATGGATGTCATTACAATTATGCCCCCCCCTGGAAAAATTCCTGCGGACGCCCATGTAACCATGTCTAGCATTGTCATGGTCATTCATTAAACCTGGAATTATTGAGGATTCACCAGGAAATTTCACAATTTAAGACCAAAAATAGCTGAACTGGAAACACATGCTGACTAGGAGAATTGCTCCTTTTCTGCTATTTTGACTTCAGATTTCCAGGTCCTTTGTGAATTCCCAAAAATTCATGATTAAGTGAACAGTTCACGCAGTGTTGCTAACTAAAATATAAATTATTGGGAATTTGTGGTGAATAGAAAAGGAAAAAAAAAGTTGGCTTTCTTTTCAGCTCCGATATTTTGGCCTAAAAGTGACTAACTCTGACAGCAGTGAGTGATGTGTGTGATTGGATCATAAAGCTCCACAGCAATGTAACTTGCAGTATTTTATGGGGTGTACGATTTTATCAAAGAGCTCAGAGCATATAAATCTCACTGTACAGAGAGTATGAATGTACTGCTGAAATAAAAGCCATAACTCACTGTAAGGGTATGCCACAGATTTAAAGGACCACTCCACACCCACAAAGCACTCCAGCTTGCTGAAGTGGGTAAGTAGTATCCAATTTCCAAGGCACTTTTAGGATTAAAAAAATGAAACACTCACTTGGGAGATTTGTTTCTGTCTCTCGGGGGAGCTAATGGAAGTTGCAGGTGTGCACTACTTGAATGCACCTGCCTCCCCCCAACATACCTCCTTCTAAGACCACAGATCAGAATGATGTGAAATGCGTGCATGCAGGAGGGAGAGCTTCTTAATGAGAAGCCTTTGATAGACTATTTCCCAGAGAAGAGATTGTTAGTTTCTTCTAGGGAAAAGAGGTGGGCTTGCGAAGACTGCCTGATGTTCATAAGAATTGCAGCTTTTGCAAACTCTTAAGAGGTACCTCCAATGAATACATACATTAAAATGCATGCTGTATTCACTGGAGTTATATCTAGTAAATAGTGATTTCTCATTTTTGACCATTTCTGCAGTGTGTCCCTTTAAAAACACAAAATTCACAGGGGTATTTAACTACAAAACTCAGAATTGTAACACAATGAAATTAAATGCATTCTCCCCAAGGGTCACGATTTCGGCAAGACAGTCCCATTATTGGGGTCCTGTCCGGCTGTCCTGATTTTGCTCCCTGGTGTCCCGCATCCAGGAAACATACTTGGGAAGCGCACAGCAACATCATTAGATGTGCTCATGCAGTGAATTGGTGCTAGGAGTTTGTGGCTGTCCAATCACAGACTTCCCAATGCAGCTCAATAAGAAGTCTTTGCAAGGCAGGTGTGCTGAGCAATTGTGCAATTCAGCTATCCACTGAGCTAACCAAACAGGAAGTCACAGGACCTGCTGTCTGCTTGAAAGCCAGGGGGTGTAACCAGGTGAATTTATAAAAGTGTAAAATTTCCAATAAAATACACACTTTTTGTAAAAAAAAAAAAAAGACACTCTTAAAAGTGTAGTAGGACACTCTTAAAAGTGCAGTAGGATTCTGGAGTGTCCATTTAATCCTCTGGTTCATGCAATCACTGCACGCAGCCTGGTTCACAAAATTGTGAATCGGGCAATGTATAAACTAATAGCAGCCAAAGTATGGTGGTTATTAGCTTACTGAACTGTTTCACTCATTATGTCCCATTGCACAGCGCTACGGAATTTGCTGGCGCTATATAAATAATAAAATAATAATAATTATGTGTCCAAAAAAACTATGGCTATTGCATAAACTACGTACTCCAAAACCTCCTGCTGACAGTTTATTATGGGATAAAAATCAAACCCCACAAAGCAGAATGGGGCTGATCAGTGGAGCACCTTGCTGGTCAAGGAGAAGTCATTAAACTGCTAACGCTTGCTCTGGAAGTGTGACATTTTTTGGATTGTTTTGGTAGTTTTCTAACAACTTTAAATGTATTAAAAATTGGGGTAAATTCTTGTCTAGTGTGTCCCTGTGTATTTGGGCACAAGAAACCAGATACGAATATATAAGTTAAAGCATTGCCATGACTATTAGGAAAGAACCAAGGGTTACGAAATGGGTTACTTTGTGGTCAACCCAGGTCCCTCGAGATAATCAGGGAGGATGTGGGTTAGCAACAGGCCAAGGAGGAGCAACTTCCGAAACAGATTGGACCACACCGCCCACAGGATTCTAAGTTCAATGTTACACGGTAGAATAATGTTAGAAAGCAGCAAACTCATTCAAAAAGTAACAGAAGACACAGAGACACACCTGTTTGAGAATAAGAAGGGCATTTAAAGGGCACAAGCAATAAAAAAATAAAATTTTAAACAGTTTTATAACAGCATTTTCCTGTGCAAATGTACATATTACTGGGAAATTATTTTTCTATAAGTAATATACTGTCTCTATTATACCTTTCGTATGTTCATCTTTTTTTTTTCTTTGTATTAAACTAAAAACTTATAAATAAGGATTGTCAAATAAATGTGCAAATGGTCTCATTTTTGTGTCACCTAGAATTTAGCTGGGTTTGTAAGGGTCCCATGATCTTGACAGTTTCACAAAACCACATGTCCCATCATTACAATAGCTACTAGGGATGTGCATGGGCAAAACATTCGGTTTGATTCAGCACTTCCGAAATTCGGTAATTCGGACATTCGGAAGCATCAGAATGTCTGAATTGCCGAAATTTGGACGAATTTTAATTCTGACTGAAACGAATTGCACATGTCTAATAGCTACACCTTCTAGTCAGCAGACAATGCAATGAAGAAAATGCATAACTTATTGTTGCCCTTCGACTGCTATGCAGTCCGGGCAGATGCTGTGGAGTCACTTTACAATCTCTTGTTAGCTCTGCTACACTTGCGATTCTCTTGGTGCTTAAATCCCAACACCAATATAATTCAAGTAGAACTCTACTCATCAACAGAAGTAAGGATTCGGCCATGTGACATGCCATTCAACCACTCTATTTTAGAATGATTATTTTGGTGGTTGCTACTCTCCCTGTAAACCTTTTATTGAGAATTTTTTTTTTTTTATTGATGAATCACTCTCTTCCACATCTCTCTAATAGCAAAGATGATTGACTGTTTCTCTTTTTGACATTATAAATGTAAACTCTTTCTCTAGTAGTGTATGTTGTCACTGTCCATGGAAACCTTTACACGTTAGGTATCCTACGGAGTCTGGTACTTTGTTTTTTAAAAATCAAAATGTTTTTAATTGCTTTTTAACAAATGTAATATTAGGAAGGGACAGGATTAGACTCGCAGGCCTGAATTGTCACAAATAGCGAGCAGTCAAGCAGGACAGAAAACATAAACATAGTGCAAACAAAATAACTGGAACAGTGGAAAAGACAGGCAGTACACAGGCAATATTCAGAAGTTATGTTTCAAAGTCCCCTATCCACTCTAAATCATGAATACCAGTTATCCCCTACACTAGCAAAATCCCACAGATGTCATCAGGCAAGGACCAAGTAGTCCTGGAGAAGAAGAAGCTATTGTGAAGCAGGTAATGTCTAATGGGTTGGAATGTTTGAATCTACCATTGTCGCTAGATCAGTTCCTGTTAGGTTAAATCTGAGAGTCGGGATAAGGTAAATAATTAGAATCCCATCTGTATGTATTTGCCATGTATAACCTACAAGATGCCCATAGGGTGTTATGGGGTGAGGTAATATCAGGACCTTGCTCCCACACTCACCTACCTCGCGCTCCCATGCCGCGTTTCTCTCTCACTCCACGAGGAGGCCGTGTTGGAGCGGCGTGTCCTGTTGTATCTTGATCCTACTTTGCTAGGCCCTGCCCTTACAGTGCTGTAGGATCCAGCCATTATACTTTTGCAGCCAATATCCCATTTGGTTTATTTTAGGAGGAGTGTGCATTTAAAGTGGTGTCAAAAATTAAGAGATAAACAATGTTAATACAAAAGGGGTAGTAGCTCCCTAAATTTGGTACAGGACAGGGTGTTTTCAATCCATTGATACTATTCCAGCAGCTGGATTAAGAACTTCTCTGGAGTTCTACCTCTCTACATCAGATGAGTTAGAAATGCTTCTCTCACAGCAAACCCCAGGTCCGGGGCCATCCACTTATATCATCGACATGTACAGTTGCCATGAATATTGCCATACTTTCCATCTTCTCATCTCCCCTCCTTCCATGCATGGACAACACAGCTTCCCAATGGGATCTCTCACCAGGTGTTTTTCATTAGTTCACCTCATAGTCCAGAAAAAAAAAATATATATAACCTTATTTCTACTCTCAGATCAGCTTCAATCTTTTACATGTTGCCATGCTCCTACAGAACTCTACTTGCCCCGTTCCTTTTAGAATAGTCCATTTATTTAACAAGATAAAATGACTATTAGTCTTAGGATGGGAAACAGGAATGCCCTCCTGGTCTATGAGATTGGTTTAAAGGCATTGAAGGCCACCAGGTCAAGAAGAACTGCTATCCACATCTCACAATACCCAACATAAATGCACACAACTTGGTATAAATAACTGAAGAACCTTTGCATATTTTATTAGCACTGAAGCAAAAAACAAAGGCTATTTGAACTCTAAGAATGGACAAAAGCTTAGAGAAACTCAGTAGCTTGCCCTTCGGTAAATCCAGACTCAGGTCTTGAAAAATTTTTTTGCTCACTTGTGCCATTACACAGAGAACATATCTGAAGCTTATCAAAGTGGTCCCACCTGTAACGACAGTCCAGAACCAAAATGCCAGCAACTTCTATCTGCACAAGAGATGCATATTTCATTAGCAGGATGATCTCAGCTTATTAGTAAGCTCTTATGTTTTTAGGATTCCCCTCCACACAGATAATGGCTTTACCATATTTACCTATCCATTCCATTTAGTTTTTAAACTCTTTAATATTACTAACCTGTTAACAGGTATATGCCTAATAAAACAGGATGCCAAACCCAGCTAGGCTGACAATACAACTTAAAAATAATTGCATGATTTTTGACCAATGTTATTTTCCTTTCATTTGCAGTCAATTTATTGACATGAATGTATGGGTACACCTATTTTTCTTATGCAGAATATTACCAAATGTCCAGCCTAGATCCACTAACCTCGGAACAGTTATAACCTTCTGTAAACTTGAAAAAAGTTCAATAAATATAGATTTACAAACACATAATTACAGAAAATTAAAATAGTATCAATTCTAATCTTTTGTATACATGAAAAAGCTTTAAGAAAATGCATATAAGAAAATACAGTAAAATAAAATTATTTCACAGTTTCTACGGACCTTCTCACTTGAGATGAAAGTTTTAAGTCAGCATTAGCCTTCAACACTGTTTTATGCCGGATGTAGATGCCGGTTGTACAGTGACATTTCTCTGTTTACCTTAAAGTATTTAAAATAAGCTCTGACTAAATGGTGGGAGAGGACAGGTGTATTAGTGTCACCATCATAGTGCAGGTAACTATTAGCAATACTTGTGAATATGATATATGGTATGTTTTCAGAGGCTATATGAGCATTATTTTATGGTAGAGAAACCATAAAGTGAATTCAGAACCTTTTCAGAATAAAGATCCTTAGAAATTACACGTTTTGGGGGGTGGGGCTTGACTGCAATGGCAAGTGGTCGCATGGAGCATGAGCTCTGCAGATTATCTGCTTAAATACCATCAATCATGATACCTGTGCTGATAATCCAGACTGAACTAATGCCTGGAGGTGGCCAAGTGTTACTGGAGTGGCTGGGAGGTGCGGTCGAACTCTCCGGTAGGACCCTGCAGGCTGAATTGAGAGCTCGGCTTCCCCCCCTCTGCAATGGTGGGTCATCACCACTGCAGTCCCTGATACCTACCACCAACCTGGAGGCTCCAACGTCCTTAGGTGGCGCTGGGTATTCAGTGCCTCAAAATGGCAGCGGTCAGTGCACATCCACATTCCTCACTGAAGGAAGCAGTGAGAGAAACCTTCCTTGCAGCTTGGGACACAGGCCATAGACGCAAGAGCACATCATACAGCGACGACCAGGAAACACTCGGCTCCTAGAGAAAGAATGATCAGTCCCTCACTATCTGGGCCGGACACTGAAGGGACGCCTCAGGCGGGACTTTGTCCACACACCTGGAAAACACCCTCGGGCAAAACTCTCCCGGGCTGATAACCTTTTCATCTTTCATGCAGGAGGGACGTTACCATGGTCTGCTGCAGTAAACCTCTTAAGCTGAGACGCAGGCTAAACCTGATCACCATGTTGGCACAACTGCCCCCATCTCCTGGACTTTCCTGCGCTAACATAACAGACTGTGTCTTTTCCTTTTCTTTTTAAAGCAAAAGAGTTTACTTTACTTTCATTTAATGTTTTAGCCTGCAGAGCATGTCAGGAATTAAGACCTAGGTACTAGTCTTTGCTTACATATGATGTGGTGGTGGTCATCCCAAAAATAACCTCAATGAGCTACAGCTGCCATTCGTTTTAACTACTGGTTCATAGGCACTTAGCTATATGCCACAGTTCGTGCGTGTTTTATTATGCAGCTACTTTTAATATTCAGGTCTTTATTAAATATATTCTTGCAATTCTACTTTATATAGCATTTAGACGTGAATGTGTTACTCTGATATTGACAAACAAAAAGTGCACATCTCTCGACATGTTGTGCATCTGCAAATTGTCTTGTAACGTTAACCATAATTGTTATGTCTTTACAAACATGTCTACTAATCTAAGAACTGCAAAAATAAATTTTAAAAATAAAATTACACGTTTTGCTTGACATTCCAATAAGGGATATGCTTAAACAGTATTTAAGACGTGTACTGGATTGCATTCATGAGAATTCACTAAGGATAATAACTAAGTTCTATGCCTCGAAATGTTCACTGATTAGTAGATCCATTAAAACTTCTATAAAACTTCACAATTATCTTTATAACTAACTGCAGTGTACTGCAACTCCCAAGACCCTCAGACAGCCTCCGGGAGGCTGGTTGAGAGCAAACAAAGTAGGACAGGCAACAAAATGGAAACAATTACTAATGCAAATACAACGTCTTACTCCAGCAATCTGTGAACTTAGCATTACATTTAGGGCTTGAGAAAAGTAAATTATTCTCTAAACAAGTGGATTAAAAACTGGCTTTTTTACGTTTGGGGCTAAAGAGCCATGCTGACTGTTTAGTTAATAAACTCCCTCAATAAAAAAAACATAATTAAAAAGAAAAACTAAGAAAAACAGGACACAATTTAATGAATGCTTGCAAATGTGCTGAAAAAATATATACACATAGTCTTTGTAGAAAAGGTTTTTTATGATAAGATAAACATTCATTATTTGCAAGGGCATCTGCATAGTTTGATACCCTTTGATTTTCTACTAACGAGACCAAATTTATCTATTTATCCTCATTTAGTTTAGTTTCTAACTGCTTGCAAACATAAGCAATACATTTGCCCTTTAACCCCCAGCTGTGGAATCATTCTAGTAACAATAGATTGTTGAAACACTGGACATTCATTTTCTTTTTGTTCTAATTTACCTATATGACATGATTTTTAGGGGCTATATATGTATCTATGCAGAGCAGAGAAACCATAAAGTGAGTTCAGAACCTTTTCAGAATAAAAATCCATACAGATGACATGGTTTGCTTCACATTCCAATAAAAGGAGATGCTTAAACATCAATTAAGACGCACACTGGAATACATTCATGGAATAAACTGAGAATTCACTAAGGATAATAACGGAGTTCTACGCCTGGAAATTTTCACTGATTAGTAAATCTGCTTCAGTAAAACGTCACAATTATCTCTATTCACCAAATACTGAAAATAATTCCTCACGCACTCTGTGCAACGCAGTGAAACAGAAAACAAATCAGACTGGTTGTATACACAAGTATACAACGCTGTTCATATATTTAATGCTTTCTGTATGTCAATAAGAATAACCATAATTGTTGTGCTTGCGCACCGGTGCAAATTCACCCAAAAGCTCAAGTCGTGCGTTGCTTCTTACACCAGTGAGATAATATCTAAATTAGCTTTCACCCCGGTCTCATATGAGGAAAAAAGTGACAATTCGCATACCTGTGGCTCCAGCAAATACATCCAGGGGCCATAACTGTGATCCAGCCATTACCCCTACTCTCCTGTTTCTTTCCTCTTTCTCGTCTTGACTCTATTTCTATGACTTTCTCTCTCGATCTCCCTCCTCCTTTTGCTCTCTCTTGTTCAGCGTTGCACTTACATTCACCCTCTCAATCTGTCTGCCTCGTTGCAGGTGGTTCCTCATTTCTATTTACGCTGTCTCTAATACGATGTGTAAGTACCCAGGAGCCAACAGCAGTTATCCCATCATCTTAATAGTTGTAATTAAATGGAAAGATGGAAACACTAATCTAAACAATAATATAATAATTGGAGCTGCTTATATACATATACATACACATACACATACATACACACACACATACATACATACACACACACACAAACACACACACACGGTATAAACCAGCAGAGTTATGGTGGGGGAAAAAAAAATCCACAGATTTTACTATTAACATGACGCAAAGTCATAATTTTATTTATGACACGGAGGCGAGTATTATATTGGATTATTGTAGATTCTACCCTTCCAACTCTACACCTTCCGGTGGCAAAATTTGCCAATATCAAGTAGGAGATAGGCAAACATTAGCATGGAAAAGGCAACAAGGAATCAGTGCAAAGGGCAGAAAAGTGTAATTCCTTGAAGAAGACCAATCTTGGAGAAAGCATTCGTAGCCAGTGCTGTCGGATCTGGTCTCCAACTAAAAAAAATGGTGAAGGTGAGCATTTAAACAAGAAGCGAAAAGGTCTATTTCCAATAGACCCCATTTGTTCCAGATGTCTTGGAAGACCATGGAATCCAAGTACCAGTCCCTGAGGTGGCATGAATACCAGTCCGCTGTAGTGTCGGAGAGACCCTGAATGTATTCCGCCGTGACTGAAATGCCGTGCATCAGGCAACTTTGCCAGAAATCGCAAGCCATGTAGGTCAGAATTTTGTATTTTGTGCCTCCAGGTGATTGATGTAGTAGACAGCTGATGCATTGTCCATCTTCAGAAGGGTAGGATTGATTGGGCTTGAGTTGCGGACAAACTGCAGACTGCAAAAGAACCGGCCAGAAGTTCCAAACAATTGATGTAGAGTGTCGATTCCAGATCTGATCATCTGCCCCTGGTGGAAATATTTCCACATTGAGCTCCCCAACCGTGCAAGCTTGCGTCGGATTCGATGATCAAATTTGGAGCTGTACAGAATATGGCGCGTTCATTCCAAGCTTTCATGTGAAGAAACCACCATTGGGGTTCATCCTTCGCTTCTGAGTCCAGAGTTACCATATCCGTGTATGGTGTGCTGCCCTTGAGATGAAGCTTGTAATCGTTGTAGGGCTCGATAGCCAAGAGGACCTCGAAAAATGGCCTGTATAGATGCCGCTAGAAGGACTGTCATTCTTGACAATTGTTTGAAAGGGAGTTGAGACGTTGCTAGTGTTCGCCTATATCCTCCTTGATATTGGCTAATTTTGCCACCGGATGGTGTAGAGTTTGAAGGGTAGAATCTACAATAAACCAATATAATAGGAGCAACCGTGTCTTAATAAAATCCTTTCCACCTGAAGTCAGTGGATAGTAAATACATTATTAAAACAGATCTATATACACCAAACAAGTCATAAGACTTGATTTTCCCACATAAATGTCTGTTACTACTGCAATGGATTCTGGGTGGGTTTATGGTAGTCGGTATACATCCCTATTATTATTGCGATAATTATTATTATTGCCATTCATATAGCGCAAACAGATTCCGTAGCGCTTTACAATTTTATAAGAGGGGGAATTTAACTACGAATAGGACAATTACAAGAAAACTTACAGGAACGAGAGGTTGAAGAGGACCCTGTTCAAACAAGCTTACAGTCTATAGGAGGTGGGGTATAAAACACGTTAGGACAGGAAATAGCAATCAAATGAGGTGGGAATGAAGCAGACCTGGAGGAGAGAGTAAAGTGCTGCCCCTTAGGAGAGAGCAAGAGACAGGTATGTGAGGTAGAGGTTACTCTGGGAGGCCATAAGCATTCCTAAAGAGATGGGTTTTAAGGCACTTCTTAAACAATTGAAGACCAAGATAGAGTCTGATGGCGGTAGGCAGACTATTCCATACGAAGGGAGCCGCCCACAAGAAGTCCTGCAAGCGTGAGTTGGTTGTATAGGTGCAAGTAGCGGACAGGAGAAGGTCACGGGCAGGGCGGAGAGACCAAGAAGGGGCATACCTATGGATCTGTAAAGAGATAAGAGGGGCTAGAATTGTTTAGTGCTTTATAGGTATGGGTTAGCACTTTGAATTGACTCCTATATGATACAGGAAGCCAATCTAAGGACTGACAGAGCAGTGAGGTGTGAGAGGACCGACTAGAGAGGAAAATCAGTCTGGCGGCAGTATTCATTACAGACTGTAGCAGGGCAATACGCACATTAAAATCTTGGATGGAATTTAGAATTTAGAAAATATGCATAAGGCTTAACTTGTCTTTATGTAAAAAAACAAACGTTTAGAAAACTCAAGTTAATATTATTTCTTACTAAACTATTTCCTATGTACTAGCTGAGTTTGTCCTTAAAAACCATTAGGACATATTATATGCTTGTTTAGGTCAGTGGGATATGAGTTTTTGCCTAACTTTACACACTCATTGGACACAATGTTTTCAACTCCAGCTAGGCTGTCTGTACGGACATGCACATTACAAAGTATAAATGGTTTATTAATAAAGCACACTTCTGCTACAAAGATCTTAAAATGAATAAATAGGCTCAGGAGGACCATTTTATTGATTTCATTTGTAATCATTCCACTTTTAGAACTTTACTCTTTATGAATAACTCTCATGGTGTATTTCTTAAAATACTTTGTAGAACAGTTAGATACGAAGGGAATAATCTGGTCCAAAATGTCATATGATGAACCCTAATTCTCAGTCATAATTCTCAGTTACAAAAACAATATAGAAAGTGCTAGACTGTTAAGGTTTAATTGATGAATAGTGTGGTAGTGAAGGTGCAGGTGCTAAATGAGTGGAGACCTGTGTCCCTAGCAGGTTAACAAATACCATGGAAAGAATAAATCCATAGCACACCTCAAATGTATGGTCTTAGTTAATTTAAATTCCCCCCGAGGAAGACTTTCAGTCGAAACGTTGGGGTGCTGTGGTCTCCAGCTCTGGTCAGTATACCGGTTTGCATTTTAGGGATAAGGCATTGAGAACTTTATTTGCTTTCATTACACTTTATGTGGTTATGTATTATGTGATTTTCTTGCATGTTTGCACTTTATTTCTTACATTTGGCTGTATATGCATTATGTTAATAAAATCTGTTTGGTGCAATACGTTTGAGGTGTGCTATGGGTTTATTCTTTCCATAATCCAATATTACACCAATATTGATAAATAAAATATCACACCTTACAGGCGCTGGGTCACCACAATGCATGAAACCAGTAAAAGACTATTTAAATAGCTAAACTTAAAACAGCCAGCCCTGGTGGTCCGGTGGCGAGTTCTGTAGAGCCTGCAGCTTCTCTGGCTGACAGCTGTCTCCTGTTCTCCCACGTGCAGAATGCTGTGCGCACTTCCTCCCAGGTCCCTCCCCATTCCTCCGGCTTCTCCTGCCCTCTCTCCTCTAACGCAGGACCTTTGGGTTGATAAGTAAGATCTTTGATTTCTCCACCGGCCCGAGAGGGCCCACTGGGAGAAAACAGGGCCGTCTCTCTCTGGGCCGGTAGGACAGATCACAGGATCTCCCCTGTCGGCCGTGCAAATGGGCATACCGGTGGGGCCCCAATGCTTGTGGGGCCCCCGAGCAACAGCCTGCATGCCAATGGGGAAAGAGGGCCCTGGTAAAACCTTCAACAAGACCTTGGATAATGCCCTGGCTATGACTACATCTGTATTGCCGCACTTTCCACTATACATATATATATTTTTTTTTCATTAAAAGATTCCAAATACTGTCCTATTTCTAGTTTTGTCAGACACACAGACTTTCTTCCAAGTTTCAACTTTTCAAATGTTTCTAAACATATCCACTGATTAGGAGAATGCAAAACACTTAGATTCCTGTAAAACTGTATATTTTGCTTTGTAACAGAAATGCAGCCCTTGGCTTTATTCATTTCCACTTGCTATTTTACTTTGTTAAGCTGCTGCATGGGGTAATAGCACAAAAGCACTTTCATCTCCCTGTTTCAAAGAACTGATGCACGTTTGAACTACACACAGATCGCAGGACAGCTTTGCACACACCGCCAGGCCTGATGGACCACACAGCAACACAAACTACATTAACTCTCAGCAAACGACAAACATGTGGCAACAGCACATAACACCAAACAGTATGATACACCCGTCTAACATGGCTGGATGCCACTGCACTAACCAATACATTAACACTGATCATCAGATACTGCACAATAAAACAAGCCGTACCATGAATCTCAGCAGCAAACCCCCTTTGGTACACACAGCACATTTAAAAAAAAAGTACTTTAAACCTCAATGCAAGTCAAGGTGTGCAGACAACACAACAGTATAAAGTGCAAGAAATTGTTATGCTGCGGTCTTGCCTGGTACCACAAATTACTTTTCCCCTCAATTTTCTTCAGATGACTGAAGCATAATTATACAAGACGTAAAATTTAAAGCAGCCTCGCCTGCTGTGTGGGTACGAAATACTATTCTACATTAATTGCCATTAAAAGGCGCGGTGTGCAGTTACACCATACTACCAGACATGTTACATTATCATCACCAGTAGGCCTGTTGTGAGGCTGGAATGTACTAAAGACTACTTAAAATAAAATATAGAGGGGGCGGAGCTAGCACCCGACGGCAACGGTCGCTCTCTTCTTGAGCTCCATCAAAACGGGCACGAAAAACGCCTGAATCCTGCCGAACACAGGGGTATAACACCCCCCAACAAGCTTCGGACAGCTCTCCTTACGATGGGGAGAAAAACTAAAAAACCCCGTCCGGATCGACCAAGATTCTGTGCCGATATCGGCGACCTCCTGAGGGGGCCGCATGGTGCGGGGAGAACTGACATGGCGGCGGACATGGAAGATTTCTCGATGACTCGGCTGACTATTCCCTCCACAATATAGAAGAGCGGGGAATCAACCCTCCAACATCTGCCCAGCCAGCAACCAAAGGGTCAGAACCGCTCACCACAGGGATACTTACCGGCCTCCTGGCGGACCTCCGCCACAGCCTCTCCTCAGAAATCTCCCAGGTGAGAGAAGACCTCAAGGGGTTTAACGGGCGCCTAAACACAATTGAGCAGACAACCACAACGCATGCAGCCCACATCCTAGAGCTGCAGATTGCCACTCTCACTGCAGCTCACACCACTCTGAGTCACCAATTAGCAGCAATGGAGGACAAGAGAAGGTGGAAACACCTGAAGATCAGGGGCCTCATGGACAATATCACACAAGCAGAACTGCCTCACTGCCTGCGTAGGCTCTTCACAGCCCTGTTATCACCCAAACAAGCGAAAGGTATCACACTAGAGGGGATGTTTTGGCTCCCCAAGCCTCCTGCAGTTGCGGCCTCAAACACCAGCGACCTACTGGTCAAATTCCAAAACGGCCAAGATAAGGCAGCCATCTTGAAAGCAGTGAGGGGGAAACCCCCATTCCGCTTTGAGGAAATGGACATTACCTTCTAATCAGATCCCTCCCTCCCGACACTTCAGTGGCGGAAGACGCTAAGACCCCTCACATCCATACTATCAACGAAAGGAATCAAGTACCGATGGGGCCCAACACACATGCTAATTATCCAACACCAAAACACGGAGATCAAGGTAGTGGAGGCATCGCAGATAGAGGCAACCCTGACCACTCTGGGCCTGAACCACGCAGCAACGCTGGCACCGACAACATGGGACCCGGCCAACTCTGCCCCGTTCATCCCTGCAAATTGGAACATACCCAGCCGTGCAACTACTTGACTCTGGAAATTATATATTTTCTTTTATATAGTTTCTTTTATATATTGTTACTTAAACTCTTGTTTTTTTCGTATTATGAGGCACAGGCACCCCATAGGGCCAGCCTCACGCTGAGAAACTGTAGACGCAGCATAAGTTATACCGTTCGTATTGTACCCCCCTCTGTTTTTGTTTGTGTTTTATACACCTCTTAGACACCGCGCAACATACCACATCCATGCATCAGCAGCAGTGGGCCGTACCCATCTCCACCACCTCCCAGACCTAAACAAGCCGAAACTCGGAAACACTAGCTCTTTAACGAACACCTTACCCCCCCAGCTCCGCGCTAGGAACCACTTACAACCACTCAGCCAACATCGCTATCTCACCAATGTATGCAGAAGATTAAAAGCAGTGATATGCTTCATTGAATGTATTATACGCAATATGTATATCTTGTTGACTGTGAAAAAAATAAAGAATTTTAAATAAATAAAATATAGAAATTGTAAGTATCACTGAACACAAAATAAACCTATGTTTTCCCCCAAATCATTTATGACTAACTTATGCGGAATTTCATTGCTAAAAAGGTTACATGTCCAATGCATCGTACACAATAAAGGTCAACTTGAAGCACAATCAATTATTAACAGGGTTCTTCACTAAAGGGAGAATTCAAAAAGTGACTTTTCCATTTCAGCTACATTTGCCTTAAATTTTAAATTCATGTTGAATTCTCCCTTTAGTGAATAACCCTCCTAGTTTTTCACTTTATCAAAAAGCACTACTTTTCCAATCCACTGCATGAATGAGGATGACGGTATTTGCTGTCCACAATAATGAACTCTGAAAAGGCCTGTATGGAATCTGTATGAAATAATATGAAAAATCGAGGTAATGCAAAATTGTCCAAGATTGCATCAGCCTCGCCTTTCAGTTGCTGTTTCCTAAAATGACCCGCTCTTTATTTACAATGCAGAAGAGGAGGCGGAGGGTGGGGGACATGCTGACTGTGAGGTCTGGGCAGGGACGCCAGCGGTTCCTCTCCTCCCACTCTCTCCCTCACATTATGCACTCGTGCTTCTGGTTTCCTCTTCCTGTCAGTCTTTTGTGGTTTATCCAGATTGAATGAAATAAAAATAAACACTTTCACAAGCCATTCAGCGGAGAAGGAAGTGTGAGGGTTATTTACATAGAACAGATTGGGCAGATAGGTGAAATAAAATGCAGTACTGTCCATGGTTGGAACTGAAGAGATAGTACAGACCGCTGGGACAATAAAAACAAAACAAACGATATATGTAATGCTTGGGGCTCAATACTTGGTTTTAGCCATAGATCAAAAGGTGCGGGTATCTTTCCATTTGTTGGATTTAGTTAGAGAGAACCGGGAAATCCACTGTTATCTATGTCTAAAGTACAACCATATCTAACAATATTTGTATTCCTCTATTAAAAAATAACAGCCTAATTATTATTTTATAGCAGGCTCTGTGTCTTTTTTGTCCAAGAATCAGTAGTAAAGGTCTCCCGTGGCCAGCATCATGTGACCTGTGTTCATGGCGTTCACTTCTAATGTAGTGGTGAGGTCATCTTGTTTGTGCTGAGCTCCAACTTGAGTTTTGAGTTTTGTAAGAACTGAACTCCGATATATTGTGTTTGCAAGTCTCTTGCTGCTGAAAGCTTGTTCTTCTTTCTCTCAATTATTCAGGGATACCATAAAAAGTATTTGGAGAATATGTAGTAAAGGAACACTCCAAGCTGTAGCAGTTATGGTGCCAGGAGTGCCCTGTTGCCCTCCTAGGCTAAGTAGTCAAACCGCTTGAGAACAGTTTGACAACTTATCTGGGATCCAACGAGCATACATTGCTGCCCTTGTGATATTAATAAAAGGGAGGTTTAATCCTCCCGCATGCCCCTACTTGCAGCATGCTGTGAGTAGGGGCATGTCGCCTAAACAGCGAGCAGCCAGTGGCTCCCCAAACCCCTAGTCACCCCCTTCCCCCAAAAAATTAAACCCTACCTACTCCACATTAGACCCCCCTTTTATTTAATTAAGGTCCCCACCCGCTAGTCATGGGTGGGGACCTGGGGGGGTCATTAGTTCCACCCATTATTTAATTAAGGTCCCCACCTGCCAGTCATGGATGGGGACCTGGGGGGGGACACTAGGTCCCCCCATTTATACTAATAGGGTGCGCGGGGCATTATGTTCCCCTCATTTTTGTTATTTGGGTTCCCCACCATGGGGGAATGGCACTAGTGACTGGGCAACAATAGCTGCCCATTCACTAGTAGTTTTAACAGCGAGCAGCCACTGGCCTACTCGCGGCATGCGGGAGTATGTAACCTCATGGGTTTTAATGCTGGGGGGGTAGGGATTGATATTAATTATTACAAGTAGGGAGCTGGTAGCACTGCCAGCTCCCTCCTTGCTTTTTTTTTTGCCTGCGCAGTGGTATTTTCGTCGTAATGGAAGAAAACAAATTGTTTTTACCGAAGTTCGTCCAAAAACAAATGATTTACGGATGAAATTCGGAATGGACAAATTCAATTTTTATTTAGTACGAATTCATTCGTACAAAATGAAAATTTCACTGGTGCACATGTCTAATAACTGGTATTACTGAGAATTGGTGGGATGACATACCGAACTTGATTTTGGCTGTTAATTGAAACAGACATGCATTATTTAGATAGGATCCAAAAACAAGTGTGAGGGGTATTGTTTATAAATCAAACCCGAATTGATACCAAGAGCCAAAAAAAATGTATGTGATGATATTAAAGTCTTAAGTGTAGAAATTTGCATACTAGAAAACAGGACATTTATTAGTAGTATGGATATGTTACAAACCCCAAACATTATTACTGATAGGGAATAGCAACTGATACCTTTACAAAAATGCTTCATTTTAAAAAGTCTAATTACAGTAGGATGAGGCCATCTTTACAACAAATTGACTGGCCAAAATTATTGATTGGCAAAAGCACAGAGGATAAATGAAAAGCTTTTAAACAAATTCTACAAAGTAAATTTCCCAATATATAACATTGGGAAACAAATACAAAAGAAGCAAATTAAATTAATGTGGTTTCACCTTTCCCCAGGATTCTTTGACAACTTGGAGATGTGGCTCTCAATGAGGCACCATTCTTTATGTATTTTAGGACTGCCCTTATCTTTACTCCTTTTTGCCCTTTATGGAGGACCACTTTTTCAAAACTCTCCAAGGTGCACACCCTAAGATCTCCACAATGTTTCCTGCCAGATAAACTCCTGCACAATACACAGGGTCCTACAAAACATTTGGTCCTTCATGTATCGGTTGCTGCAAAAACACGTGATTGCTAGCCATTGCAAGTCTACTAATCACCCTCCCACTCAATTTGTGCTTAATTCACTTTGCTCCGCCTGTAACTATGAAGAGGATTTCCCGTATGATTTGAGGAAGCACAACCAGATCTTTCAAGATATGTGCTGATTGGGATACCGTTTTCCCACTACCTCGACTCTAATGGCATCTACTTCAGGAAGCACATGTACTTCCTCCTTACCTGACCCCTCTGCCCCACCCAATTTCCTTTCTTTTCTTATTTTCCTTCCTTTATATTTTGTTATATAATATGATCTGTCTAGATTCTTTTGTCTATTTTTAAAGGTGTCATAGTAGGTGTAATGTTGTGCATCACTTGCAACATTCCACTCTACATGCTGGACATTGTACTGTGTAAACAGGTTTTTCAATAAAAATTATACATAAAAAAAAACAAAACAGGGGGGCGGAGCCAGCACCCGAGCAGGATAGTCGCACAGCACTGCTGCTCCGTGGAGCGAGACGAAAAACGCGGCCCAGAGATGATAAACACTGGCTCACCGGCGCACCAAAGACAGAGCATGGACTCCCTGTATCATGGGGAAGAAAACCAAAAAACAGCGGGCAGATCCGAGCACAGGATCTGGAGATATCAGGGCTTTTCTCCGCGCAGCCACGCGGCCGGCAAATTCCAAGATGGCGCCGGAGGCTTACACCTCCCAATCCTCGGACGAGGATAGCCACTACACTGAATCCTCCAATACCCATGTTCAGTACTAGTTGATACTTTCAATTTCTCTTAACCATATAATGGTCATGTTGTCTAGTTTGTGTGCAAATACAAACAAAACACAAATTAAAAAAAAAAAGGCCTGGATGTTTTTGGAAAAAAAATAATAATATTTAAGGATATAATTAATATGTATGTCAACAGGTTGTTGATCCAAGGACATTTCTGATTGCTATTATGGAGTGAAGAAGGATCCCTCCCCACCCCAATTTTTGTGGCAAAATTGTCCGTCTCTTCAAACAGTATACTAATAATATAACAATATAACAAGATGTGTTTTAAAGGTTGAAACTTAATGGACTCAAAAAATTTTTGACATAGAATTTAACAGGTTCACCTAGTACCATTTTTTTCACTTGCTGTAAACGAGATAAGTGGTAGCTGCACTGATTTTTGTTGCCGTTTGCTACCCTGTTTTCTTTGTTGCACTTCCTACTCTGGGACCTGGTTTAAATTGTTATTATTTTTCGTTATAACATATCTTCGATATGGCAACCTAGCTGTATATATTTCTACCTATATTCTAGTGGCTTTACCACTCAGATTCCTTTATCTATAAAGCAATTGCACACAGCGAATTCTTTACTAATTTTATGTGTTTTTTTCCACCCTGTGTTCCCGTATCTTTTGGTCACTCCAATTTTAATTTAACATATTAAATGTTATATTTTAACAATTTTGTCTACATAAGTGGTACCATTAGGATAGATCACGTTTGTTTGTTTTCCCATTTACAATTTTCTACAAGGGTTATCGCCTAGTGTCTGTCCTAGATACTCTTCATATTGTATTTAGCTTCCACCTGTTCTTTCTTTTTTGTAAACAAGGATTGGAGTAACATTTTAAGAGAAAGAAAGCAGTAAAGCTACTACATTATTTAAAATACATCATTCATATAGTGTCCCTTTTAATGCGGTATATCAATCTGCATAATATATTGTGATTCCCAGTCCAGTACGAATGAGCCCACGGATACCTATAATTATATTGGACACTAACGTCCTCCAATCTAAATCTATATGCACAAAATAAATAAAAATAAAAATATAAAGAAATCATGTTACAATCTATATTTGTCATTCGCTCACTTGTCATGTGTTTTGACAAAAACAAGCAAAACAAACAAAGAAACAACAACAAACGATTGAACCCCTGGTCCTTGGGTCACCTGATATATCCATGAAATCATCCAAATTAGGCTGTAAGGTTGCCAGTTCTGGTTGTATCATGTCTGCATTACCAGCGTAGTCTGGAAAGAAAGAGAAGAAATTTAAGACACAGAACAACGATCGCTAAACTAGACTGGCATAACCTACCCTAGATAAAAGTTATATATTAAAAACTGTACTTCACAACTGCAGAGTATCCCAAAAAGGAGAACACACATTTTTGTGAAACAACACAGTTTATTTATTTATTCTTAAATATTTTAAATCATACACATTTTAAAAAGACTTGCATAGTTTTTTCTAAAAGTAAGGTAAGAATGTGTAGTGGAGGTGAATTCTACTTAAAGGTTAGGAAAGATCCTGTTATCATGATACCTGTTCCTCGCGGTGCTGTACGATCATGTAACTGACTCTCTGTGTTCCGATGCACATCAGACATTCCCCACTCATCCCTAGCCTCATTTTGACAAAATTGATGAAATGGAATGCCTCATTTTGACAAAATTGATGAAATGGAATGCTTCTATTGGTCCTCTTTTATATTATCAGTCTAAGTGAAGCTTTTTGATGATGTGTACACACTTGTGATCACACAGCCCTCTGTAACCAATCACAACCCAGAAGGTATATATACACACTATCTGATTGTCCTTGTTTCCTTGCCCTGTCTTGGTTCTTGTTACCCGGGCTTCATGTGTTTTTCTACTGTGTATTAGATTTACTGTTCATGACTGCGGCTTCTTTGACAATTATTCTGTTTACTCTCTGTCTGCTTGCAGATATTTCATTTATCTGTCTTAGGAACTAGCCCGGCCACTGTAAGTACCGGTTTGTGTTCCTTTGTTTCCTTTGGGTTTGTGTGTTAGGGAATCTTCATTCCTGACACCCATGAGGGCTGCAAGGACCAGCTTTGTGAGGTAGCAAGGTCAAGAAGAGTTCCAAATAAAAGAGTTTAGTGAGTGAGTCCAGTCATTGTCCTGTAGGTGATGTACAACTGTATGGATATAGTTCTAAAAAAATTTAAATAAAAACAATAGGAAATGCAAGGGAACTTGCCCTGTATTTGTGGCTGAGTTAAGATTTTATGGTGATCAGAGTCTAAACAATTATCAATGCTGGAAAAGGAACTCTTATACCAGTTTTAAAAATTGGGCAGACAACAGATGGTAGAAATAAGGGTTAGAGAGGAATGTGAGGAATCTGGAATATTTCTAGCTATTTTAAAATTGGATTCTTGTAAGTTTCCAAAATGTAAAAGTAAGTAACATCCTCAGGAAACTGCAAGAAACTGAAAGAAGTAACTTGTTTCATTAAGCAACTGCAGAAGGTATCGTGTTCCAAATACCATATCAAAGGCATGGCGATATCTAGCCGCCAAGTTATATTCAAATATGTGATAGATTTTAAGCTCCAGAATAAATGTAACTTGCTGCAACTGTGACAGAGTCACCCTCATTGTTTTCCTATGCTAAGAGAAGGTGATAAATAGAGAGCATATCCCTGGCACATACTATTTCAAAAGTAGTAATGGAAGGATTGGTAATGGGTATGTTAGTTTGGGGAACATTATGTATTTTAAAAGGCATGCCCTTCCTGATATTGTGAGAGAAAGGTGTAGTCAAACCGTCATTTGAATGGCGATAAGGTAAATCATTAGAGTGGTAAGTGAGGACACCAAGATATTTATGTGAGAGTTGGAAAACTGTGTGGTACTACAACCAAGGGGAAGTTGTGTGAAATGTGGTCCAAGGTACAAAGCTGAGATTGTAGACCAACTGACGCGATAAACTTTAATGGGGATGAACAACCATGATGCCTATTCAGCTTGATCTGGAGAATTGGGATGTATTTTTTTTTTAGCATCTGATACATAAAAGAAGACATCATCCGCAAAAAGTCATGATGTCTATTTGGCTTGTTAAGACTTTAAAAAATATATATAATTTAAACTGCATTATAATACTATACAATATATTCATTTCACTGCATTGCATGCATCATACCGTCTCATGGTTATTTACTATTCAAAATTAATTCAAAGTGAATTTAAAACTAAAGCCCAAAATAGCTGAAAAGGAAAAACTCTCTAAGTCAGCTATGCTTCTGCTTAAATTTGCAATTCACTTTGAATTTACTTTATTTTCATTTTATGAATTACTCTGTCTTCTATATCAGCATACGAATATTCTAACAATAAAGGTGTTTTTATTTAAAATATTACCCTTGCACGAAACTGTACAAAAATATTGAGAGGAAAACACTGTATGCCTCCATCTTGATACACTAGCTTCACACCCTAGTAAAAGGGTGAAGGGCGGAACTACCAGTGGTGCAAATGGTATAGTCGTACCAAGGCTCAAATGGTCGTACCAAGGCTCAAATGGTCGTACCAAGGCTCAAATGGTCGTACCAAGGCTCAAATGGTTATACCAAGGCTCAAATGGTCATACCAAGGTTCAAATGGTCGTACCAAGGTTCAAATGGTCGCACCAAGGTTCAAATGGTCATACCAAGGCTCGCTATTCACTGGGGCAGCAGTCATATGCCCCACAACTATGAGTGTTGCAATTAATGAGGTCTCACACTCAGAGCTGATCATCAAGCTATGTTTTCCTTTTTAAATTTCCCTCTAGTGGACCGGGGGTTAATGAAGTCTGATGAAGTCATCAGACTTCATTAACCCCTTAAGGACCAAACTTCTGGAATAAAATGGAATCATGACATGTCACACATGTCATGTGTCCTTAAGGGGTAAGCAAACAACACTCCGATGAGAGAAGGGATTACGGAAGGCCTAGCTCTCATGTAACCCCTGCTTTAAAGAGAGATTCTGAACTACAACATATTTTATGTTCTAGGTCATGTAGCACAGATTAAGACTAAAAATGTTGATTGGTTTTGAAGCGCTCAAAAAAATTGTATAAAATTGTAAAATATTTAAAAACTCCCACCTCCTATAACCTCCGATCCAGTAACAGCACTTTATTTAGTCTACCTCAATACAAAAATAAAGCAGCTCGATTCTCCTTTTCCTACAGAGCACCGCAATTATGGAATGACCTCCCACACACTTTCAAATCTTCCCCAGGCCCAAAGTCCTTTAAGAGATGCCTCTCTACATACCTAAAACAGAATGCACGTGTCATGGTTGAATATATATTTCCTACCTGTTCTATGTTACATTTTGTATATGTTGTGTACTAATATTGTTTTTGTAATTTATTGTACCCTATTGTATCAATGCAATGTTTTGTGGACCCAGTACATACATGAAAACAAGAGAAATCTCAATGTATCCTTCCTGGTAAAATATTTTATAAATAAATATTAATGTGGTATGAATTATATTAGTGGACTATTATATGCTGCTGACACACTCATGTGATGTACCCCTACACACAATGTAGAATCAAAAATAAAAATATAGATAAGGGTGGAGCAGTGATTAAGACTGACTGTATCCACTGTGCAATTAGATCACACACTACATGTTATAATTAACACTACATGTCTGCACGCACAACATGCACTACCATTGGGCACTGCATGTCTTTATCAACACCATTCACTACACACTGGCATTCCAAACACACAACACATTGTAACATTCAGGACAAAATAATTGAATTAGAAAAATTATCCCATTCTTTTCTGTTATGCTTGGCTATTTTGACAAGAATTTTGAAACTCACTGGAATCCATCCTTTGAGTATCAGATGTATTCTGTTTGTTTTTGTATACATTATGATCAACATGAAACTTGGACACACAACAGAAAGCTGGACAAAATCACTTACCATAGTCTGGAGGTGTATACGCAGGTGGAAGGCCGTGTGTTGTAGTGAACAGGGTATCAGAGATATCGGTTAAGAAGTAATCCAGATCATACAACATTTCATCTTCATTGTGATGGACATTGTCCAATCCATGCCATCCAGTGCATACCTCACCGCTTCTCCAAGAAGGAACACCCTGCCTCAAAATAAGACAAAAGATGGATAAATGTACCTTCAATAGCTACAATTACAATTATTTATATAGCAATGCTTTTCACGATTATTTATATTCCACAGCACTGTACTACAGGCAAACAAGACAGACAAAGCTATTCTGAAATAGAATGCTAATGAAATCTTGATATTGCAATATATGGCTAATTATTTTCAAGGGTATTGCAATATATGGCTAATTATTTTCAAGGACTAGGCCAGTATATGTTTTTGGCAATGAATGAATAGAACCACTCAATATTTAATCATATGTTATGCAATCCAGAATGCTTTCAAAGCTATAGCTATACTATTTTAATAATACTTTACTGTAATATTTTTAGGCTATTAAATTACATGCAAAGATACCAAATGCAGAAAATGCCCAATAGGATATGAATACTATAGCAACACACAGTGAACAAAAAGTAAGAAAGAAAAGAGAGAGAACGAATAGATGTGTCTTGGTGATGTTGAATCACTGGTTCTCAGAAAAGATATACTGCCTTAAAGGAACACTATAGGGTAAGAAACACAAACAATTATTTCTGACCCTATAGTGTTAAAACCACCATCTAGCCCCCCTGGCCCACTCTTGCCACCCTAAATATAGTAAAATCTTACTTGTATTCAAGTCTGCAGGTCCTGGCCCTGCCCCTGTTTGCCTGCGAACTGCTTCTGTCTGCTGACATCGTCAGAAGTGGTGGTCTGAGCCATTAACAATGATTCCCCATAGGATTGGCTGAGACGGTAAAGGAGGCAGATCAGGGGCAGAGCCAACACAACACAACACAGCCCTGGCCAATCAGCATCTCCTCTTAGGAAAGTTTAGTGTCTGCATGCAGAGGGTGGAGACACTGAATGGCAGTGCTGCGTACTGTGCAGCACTGCTCCAGGAAGCACCTCTAGTAGCCACCTGAGGAGTGACCAGTGGAGTTATCACTAGGCTGTAATGTAAACACTGCATTTTCTTTGAAAAGACAGTGTTTACTGCAAAAAGCCTGAAGGGAATGATTCTACCTACCAGAACAAATGCAATAAGCTTCAGTTGTTCTGGTGACTATAGTGTCCCTTTAATATTTGATATTTATATTTCTATGTCACCTGTAGAGCACTTGTCACTCACAATTTATCAGTGATTTTAACCTGTGTGCCATGGCCTACTAGAAATAATGTTTTACACATTTTGTTAGCAGGATAATTAGCAATATGTACAAATCAATAGTATCGTTTTGCCTAAATGTCTGGAGATGTATATTTCGTTTGCACGTTTCAAAGGGTCATTCTAAGCACCATAACACCTGTGCATTATTTGGATATGGTGTATAGAGTCTCCCTGTCACAATACACAGTGGCAATTTGCAAAAATCACTGCAGCTATAAGACTGCCTACTTGATCAGTGATGTCAAAGATGGAATTTTACTTCCTCCTTAGGCATCCAATATTTGTTGAACTTGTCTCCATAACCCAGAATCAGAAGTTCCTGATTGGTTGAGCTTATTTTGGGTCTGGGAAGGGACTGCCTGCTGCAGCACTTATACGTGTAAGTTCTGCAGTCTTAGAAATTTTACAGCTGAATATATCTTCTTCCTTTTCTTATCCCAAGTACATTTTACAGAATATTTTCTGCAATACATTACCTGTATAATTAATTACAGAAATGTGGGTATTCTCCTGCATATTGTCATAATAAAGACATACAATCTGATTATATTTCAACAGGAAATCAAAGACCAAGTCAAACTGCATATATTTTATGCATTAAAAAAATAAAAATAAAAAGTTACCTGCAGACTATCCCAATTCCCTTTGCACATTTAAATAAGATGTTTTTAGTATCACTCCAATGGCCATTAAAGTATAAGCTCACCTGTCAAGTCAAGGCAAAACCTCTTACACTAACAATTCACTTTGCTTATTTGAGTTAAAGGCAAAAAAACAGTATTTTAAACGCAGGGCTTAATTTTTTGCATTCTGTATATATTTTGTTTAGTCTAAACAAGTTATGGTGATTTTATATTTAACTTATCCTACACTGACATCATAGCTGGAATATACACATACATTCTTGGATGTACATAAAATTAAAAACATATGTTCCCATAGGTCTGACTACTATAACCATCCAGCCTTTGTAAGACAATAAATGGCTGATGGAGTTAACGTTCACAAGGAGTATTAGTGTCGTCTAGGTTTAACAGGACACAGCATTTCTAATGCTAGCTACAAGGCAACTAAAAGTTTGAAACGGTTTATTTCACAGTATTTTTGTAACCAATTCTTTACTTCCAATAACATTTTGTAGGTTATCACAAACTATTGTATGTCACCCACCTTTTGTCCCTGAAATGGTTTTCCCTCTTGATGAAGCTTTCGCAGCTGTTAAAAGAGGATATAACTGAGATTTTATATCACTTTTAGAATTAGTGCTGAACATAAACAGCCAAAATATGTGTAAATAGTATCAATTGCAACAGCAAAACAAAACAATCCTGATTGGTATAAAATGCTTACTTTAATAGATTTGTGTTAAGATGAGAAATGTTAATTTAAAGAGTTATAATCCAATCTAAAATTAATCACATACAAGAACAGGTGAATATGTTGCACAACATGTGAATGTCTTTCACATTTTGATAAAAATCTCACAAATGGAGTGATGTGGCCTACATTGGGCAACCAATACTGTTATTAGAAGCCACATTTTTAGTGAGCATGTGTCAATAACATGCGCATTTTGGGGATTTAATTCATCAGACAATTATGGTTTTAAGCCAAAACAGGCAAATAGAAAAATCTCCCAAACTTGGCTATTTTGTTTTATGAATTGCAATCCCCCTGTTGAATATCCAAAGATTCATGGTTGTGTGCACAGTTTAAAGGTTCCATTTGCCACTAGCCTTTGGCAAGTTAAAATGTAGCCCGGGCATGTAGAAATTCATCCCTGGTGAGTGTGCCACGGACTCTCCAGTCTTACAGTGGCGAGTAACGTTTAAGGACTGGCTAGAAACTTGGGCCTTTACATTTTAAGCCCTAGTTTAGTAAATACTCTGATAGTTTCTATTCCCTTCTGAAATATCTTATATAAAAAGAATTCAATTAAAATATACACTTTTAAGAATCACTTGTGAGCTAAGGCCCCATCTAGTGGCACAAATTAATCAAGCCAATTTTATACTGACTTAAAGCAGAATTTCTTAAAGAATCCTACTGAGATTTCTATTTCACGATGTACAAATCTCTCCTGCTCTAAAGTTCTTATCTTTACTGCTCACTCCTGAGGCGCTAATAAAGAATAAAAACAAAAGAAGCTCGGATGTCTTACGCGTTTCTTGTAGTAAATCCTCCATTTGTTATATTCCTTCATTACTACTTCTATACGTCTCTTCCAATAGTTACCTTCTAAGACCACGGCCTAGAATATGAAGATCGGCAGTCAGATATATATTTATGAGATTAAAATATATACATATAGCAGTCATATGCATTTTTAACCCGGCCCCAGTTACTTGACTAAGAGATGTATTCGCTAAACAATGAACTGTAATGAATTTATTGTTCACGTTGCTTGCCTCTGGTTTCCGGTGATCATCTCCTTCTGAGCCATCAAGTGGAGTCACAAACCCACACACAGGGGTCCTTCTTTTCTCTACGTCTGAAGGGAACACAATAAATGTGAGATTTACATTATACGTTGTGGTTATTTCCTTCCAATGCCCCGAATTCCATGTTATTATCAAGAAAAATGTTGGTTGGAGAACTTCATCCTGATTAACAAAGGGATAGGACATTAAGGGGAGATGTAGTTTTATAATCTCCCTTAATGCATCTATCACGTACAGACTATTAAAAGCACTATATATCTCATTACACATTTTTGGGAAACAAAAAAAATAACAATTGATCAACAAACCGCCTGACACATAGCAAAAACAATATATATGGTTGAAATCTAATCATCTCTGCTGTTTTGTTTTTTTTACAATATATATAAGATATAAAAATAGACAAACAGGGGGTAACGACATTGTCACACTATTAAAGGAAAATAATCTGATGAGACAGAAAAATGTTCTCTGACAGTTCACCATAGTTTGATAGTAATGGTAAATCGGAATGCTAGATAAAAACAATGGCATTCCATGTATATACCTTTTTGTTTGTGCTTACTGGTCTGGTGGAGTCTTTGATCATTGTTTTCAATTTATGTATCCTACATTAGTAGTGGGGTGTGCTCTTTTTGGTGTTAGATTTTTGTTTTCAGAGATGAGAGCAGTGAGTAGGGGTGGTATCAGAGGGATCAAGAGAGGAGACAGCAAACCTTTTTCAAACTAGTTTTATGAATGGGGAATCACGGATTGGCTGAGAGCATCTGCTGACCACTCTCAGCTAATCAGCGGCGGCGCTGTCCAATCCTGCAAGAGCCTTTCTGTTTAGAGATTTTTAGAAAAAGGAAGGAGAAAGAGATTCAGCGCTGGAACAAAGACTTTAGGGTTAAACCATTCCCAGAAGAGGGCTGGGCATGACAGTCTACTAGCCTTGAAAGGTGGACTGCCTCAAAGTATTTGTTGATGGAGAGGAGTCCCCCTTCCCACTGGTGTTTTGGTAAACAAAAAAGTGTTAGAAGAGAAGACGCAGAGCTTTGTCCTGTCATTCGAACGGACGTATTGAGTAGGTTATGGAGAAGAAAAAGACATGGGGTACCGTTATTGATATAGTGTGAAGGAGATACAAGATTCTGGAGAGCATGTTCATTTTTACCGCGAACATTCACCCAAATAAGGAAATGTATTTCGAGAGCTATGAGTGAAAGTCAGACTGTATGATTTGAAGGAGAGGGGCAAAGTTTAAACTGTACAGAAGAGACATTTCTGGGTGAAGTCGGATACTTCCATATTTAATTCCCTCCCTACACCATTTAAACCGGAATTAAACTTTCAGTGCATTCGCTTCCCTGTTCTGGATTGTGACATTCAATATTTCTGTCTTGCCTTCATTTAATTTCAGTTAGCTTCTCTGCTGGTTTTAGCTAAACTTAGGCACCATAACAACCTGTGCTTCGTGTACATGTTGTACTGTGAAAAGGTCACTGCACACTTTCTCCATGAACAAATTTGCTTATAACTGATGTGTTTATCAAACACCAGTGCAATACTAAAACCAATTTTCTATTTTAATTTTGCACATGGTGGGCATAAGTCATTAAATTTTGAACCTATTTCACATCTATGAAAGAGCCTGAGCCGTAGTCACACATGTGTACCCATGTCTACAGCTATATTTCCGGGTTAAAAAAAAAAAATACAAACATATAAATTAAAAAACAAAAAAACAAAAAAACTTGCATAGGCAAACCAATAGAAGCAACAGTTTCATTTAAATATTTCCATGCATAAACCTGCACTCAATGGTGAATTACATTTCCCATATTACCCTGCTGGAATTTAAAGGTGAGCATCTTTTTATTCCTAATTTAGCAATATTGGACACATTCTTGGGTGTCCAAAGAACTTTAGAGTGTTATCAATAAAAAGAAAAAATATAAAATAAGCAGATATTCAAACACATAGGTTAGCCTCACAATTATTGTTGTTGTTTTTTTTATGCAATCCTTTGAAGTATTTTGAACCCTGTAAAGAAAAACGGAAGATTGGATAAATATTATAATTTATTGTAAAGAGGAAATGGTTTTCCTTTTCTAGTGATAACTCTGTGAAGCTCAGTGTACTTAACCCCTTAAGGACCAAACTTCTGGAATAAAAGGGAATCATGACATGTCACACATGTAATGTATCCTTAAGGGGTTAAGGAGCATGTGTACAGAGAAATTATTAGGAATCAATTATTGCACAAAATGCACTTTAAGGACATTAGCGTTTTATGTATGCATGGCACTTTTGGGGGGGAAAAAAGAGGCGTGAATAAAAACACTTCACCACATTTTACATTTCTTTTAGGGTTCTTATTTTTAAATGTATGTATGTATTAATAGCATATTTTAATGAAGTATCTAAAAAATTGCTCAAACTGTTGGTCCCCAGGGAGAAGTGTCCCTTTAAAGGGATTATGCTATCTGGTCAGGGAGAAGTGTCCCTTTAAAGGGAATATGCTATTATTGTTGATTTAATTTACCCTGTACCACCGTTTTAGAGGACACCACTGGAAAGGATTATAACCCCAAAATGAATGTGACCGGCTAACATAAAAAAAGATACAGGTAAGTCTTGTTTGAAGTAACTAATGAATCTAGGGTTTGAAGTATTTTTTGCATATAATCTTGAATGTTAAATTGGAAGTTGACAAAAATTTAGGTCTGTGTGTCAATTGTTTACAATTACTCTAAATGCTGGATTTACCCCTCTTTAAATGCATTATAAAGATGCCACAAATTGGTGTGATGCTTTAAAATATAAGCAAGTCAGGTTAAGCCAACGTTGTTTTGTGACTATAGTGTTCCTTTAAATAGTGAGTGCTACACTGACAACACTTTTGACTTACACTTCAAGATAAATGAGATTAAAGCTGTTTTTTACAGCAAAGGAAACCCAAAACAAAAACAAAAAAAACAACCGTCTGTAGATTGGAAAGGAAGTGTATCTAACCCAGCGTTTTCCAATTGGTTTTCCGTGATAACACAAATAGGGTTCAATTTCGGGAAACAAAATGGCCGCAACTGATAATTGAGACGGGCAGCGAGGGAGCACTCTCCCCTGCTCAGCTCCCTCGCGCGCACTGTAGTGATGCCGGAGCCGGAATATGACGTCACTCCGCCCCCAGCATCACTAAGAGGCACACGAGGGAGCTGAGCAGGAAGATCACTGCTCCCTCGCCACCCGCTCAGCCCAGCAGCCCCACTGGACCCCAGGGACCGCATGCCAGGTGCTCAGCCCAGCAGCCCCACTGGACCCCAGGGAAATAGAGACTTCATGTCAGCACTCCCAAAGGTAGGGAGGCTGGGTGGAGTGAAATTGAAAAAAAAAAAAAAATTGTGTGTGTGTGTGTGTGTGTCTGTTAAGGAGTTTGTATGTGTGTTTGTCAGTGAGTGTGTGTGTATGTGTGTGTCAGTGAGTGTGTGTGTATGTGTATGTCAGTGAGTGTGTATGTGTGCCTGTCAAAGAGTATGTGTGTCTGAGTGTGTCTGTGTGTCAAGGTTTGTGTGTGTGTGTGTGTGTATGTGCCAGTGATTATCTGTGTGTCAAGGTCTGTGCATGTGTCAAGGTGTGTATTTTTGTGTCTGTGGGTATATGTCAGTGTGTATATTAATGTGTATGTCTCAATGTTTTCATATGTGTGTCTGTTTGTTAATTTGTTTGTGTATGTATGTACATGGCATATGTACAGCAATCATATGTGCATACATCCCAGCAATCAAACACCACCCAGCAATCAAACATGTATATATGCATACATCCCAGCAATCAAACACCAACACAACATGCAAATGCACTCCTGAAAACACAAACATTACATACAAACACACCCCTGCACGCAAATGCAAACATTACATACAAACACACCCCTGTATCAAAACACTAACATTATATACAAACACCAACTGTACACACAAGAGCACACTTGCTCCTAAGTACTACTATCTGTTTACTATCTGCGCTACGGTGCCAAACATTTTTTTGGGTTCCATGTTGTTAGAGCATTATGTCAAAGTGTTCCACTGGAAAAATTAATTGGTAACCCCTGCCATAACGTATACATTGCACATAGTGTATGTTTCCATAGAGGTTAAATTACAAATACCTCTACCCAGGGCATTCAGGGGCTTATAAATCCCTTTGAAACCACACTGCATCGCGTAAATCACTCCTGCAAAGTTGGGAGTTATTCTGTAGTGATGTGACTGTGTTTTACTTACACTGTATGTACCAAGCTCTCCAAATTGCATTGTTCAGGCGGATCTTGTCAGTCCACATTAGCCTTAGTCCTTTAAAATTCTTCCATTTTGGCGAGACCAGCTTTCCACTACAAAACATGCATATTAAGCGTTGTAAAAGACATGTATCACAAAAATGATAAGATAGGCAAAAAAAATAAAGACTGAAATGATGCACATAAGTAAGGAATGCATTATATATTAATTAGCACAATATACAGTTCAATATTCTGTTATTTTGGCAACTTGCCAAAACTTTGCCTTTTTCTTAAAAAAGTAAAAGAAAGTAAGTGATAATTTAAGACTAATGATTTTTTTTTTAAGTATATTCCAAAATATCCCAATATTAAATGTAGTATTTAACATGTTATTATATCAGTGTTTCTACCCCAAATTAAGTAGATTCAGTTTTCTCATTTCACCACAACTTCATAAAGCAAAAAATATAATTCAAGTAAAAGTTTATTGGCAATTAAAGTTACCAAATAAAGTACATTAACAGTGAATATGCTACTGTCTGTCCGATGCATTCATAAATTAATAAAAACTAATACAAGTTATCACTTTATATTCTCATAGCTGCACTGTGGAATTCCAGACTCTTTTCAGTTCAATATTTATTGTTGGGGCTGAGAGTGATAGGAGTTATTAATTAATGAGGGCGTTTGAAAAAGTGCTTGTTGTTGCCCAACCATCCATCAGGTACACACAACTACTAGCTAACAAATAGGGGGAGATATGTGCATCTTTCTCGGTTTGTTGTATTTTCCCTATGTTAATATTGACTTTTGGAAGGTTCACTGAGTATCAAACAACCAAACATCTGTCCCCTTGTCCGCAGGCTAGTAAATGCAGTTTGAATAATTCTAAAGACAACATAGTCAAATTTTTGGAAGTTCTACAGTTTTAGTGCAAGTAAAAAGTTAAAACCAGTTAATCACAAAAATACAGATAAGATGCATTTTAAAAATTACACCTTTATTTCACAAGTGCCTGCAATAAGGCTGCTTGTCTCAATGTTGTTGCTGGAATGTATAACCCTTTAAGCCTATATTATTATTATTTATAAAGCGCCAACAAGTTCCGTAGCGCTGTACAATGGGTGGACTAACAGACACCTATTTGTAACCAGACAAGTTTGACGCACAGGAACAGAGGGACTGAGGGCCCTGCTCAATGAACTTACATGCTAGAGGGAGTGGGATATAGTGACACAAAAGGTAAGGGTAGGGTAGAAAAATAGGTTGCTAAGGGCTTAGTGTTTTGATAAAAGTTTCAGGAGAGGAATCAGGGTGCGTGGAGGGAAAGCTGTTCCCAGTTTAATTGATATGCTTTCCTAAGGAAGTATGTTTTCAAATATTTTTTGAAGGAGTGGAGACTGGGTGGGAGTCTAACAGAGAGGGAAGGGCGTTCCATAGGAACGGTGCAGCCCTAGAGATGTTTTTAAGGTGAGCATCAGAGGTAGGAGTACAAACAGAGGTTAGACGTAGGTCTCCGGCAGAGCGTAGGGGCCTAGACGGGATATATTTGTGTATTAGTGAGGATAAGTAGGTGCAGAGATTTGTAAGCAAGTGTCAGGATATTAAATTGAGCCGATATCTTACGGGAAGCCAATGGAGGGGCTGACAAAGGGGGGAGGCGTGGGTGGACAGGAAGATGAGCCTCGCCGCCGCATTCATTATAGACTGTAACAGGGTAAGTTGAAAACACGTAAACCACTGAGAAGCGAATTACAGTAGTCAAGGCGAGAGAGGAGAGTAACATGGACAAGCACCTTTGCTGTATCAGGTGTTAAATGTTTTTGAGATGGGAGCGGTGGGATTTGGTGAGTGATCGGACATGAGGGGTGAAGGAGAGGTCGAAGTCAAAGAGAACACTTAGGTAGCGAGACTTAGAGGTAGAGCGGATGGTAGCTCCATTGACTCCCTCCTTGCGCAGGGCTGTTTTCGTCATAATGGACGAAAACTAATTATTTTTTAATGAATTCCGTTTGAAAAAGAATGGTTTGCGGATGAAATTTGGGATTGACTAACTACATTTTTATTTAGAAGGAAATCATTCATACAAAACGAAGATTTCACTGGTGCACATGTCTAACCCACTCCTGACATTTACAGAGGGCCCTGTGACACCTGAATACAGAACTGAAGTTGTCCAACCTTGAAAAGTTGGAACTCCATCTATGTGATGGAAATTAAACATTTGAGGACCATTGAGAACATTTTTAACATAACGAAATGCATAATATTTTAAGAACGCTAAACACTATTTAGTATTAAACTTCATTTTCCACATTCTTTTACTGGAAACAGCTGGGAACAAATACATCTGTGCATTTTTGACCAAGTGACAGCATTGTCACGAGCACTCTGCACTGATTTAGTAATCCTGATTGTCTCCAGTTCACTCTTTCTAGCCAAAAGCAAATCACTTAATCAACCCAGTACGAACCCAGTATAAACAGTAAATTAGAATTCCCACCTGAGCCCTTTTATTGACCAGCACAGAACCACTTCAAAAACCAATCCAAGCGACCTGTAAATAATGCCCACTTGAAGAGCAAAGCATAATAGTATGTGAAAGAGACGGCATGGCTTGCGCCCCTTACTGTTGGTAATCCAGGTGCTTTAATCTGAAGCTCAGATACTCTAATTTCTTTCGAGAATTATACTGCTTAGTAAATAAGGGACTGCATTTATTGTGCGCTCTTTCTATCAACGACATGCCTGTTAAAAGATAATTACTTCACTACAACTAGCGTTTGAACTTTAGTCTGTGATCAGGAACATAAAAGTCACAGAATAGTTAAAACATGGAGATGAATAACAATGCTATTTTTAAAAACACACTATTTTTATTTTTATTTGGTCCATTGCTTCTTAAAGGGACACTATAGTAATCAAAACCACTACAGCCAAATGGATTTGTTCTGGTGTCTAAAGCCTGTCCTTGCAGGCTGGGCAAGGAAGACACTGCATTATAGAGAAAAGCTAGTGTTTACATTGCTGCCTAGTAACATCTCTAGTGGCAGTCACTTATTTACTAAGCAATATTATTTTCCAAAGATGTTGGAGTATATTTGAGGTGCTTTCTATGTCAGGAGATGCTGATTGGAGCAACGTGGCATTTTCGTATGGGAAAGCACTGGATTGATGACCTCGGCCATGGAGGCGGGGCCAGCCGCAGTGACACTAGCGTGGTGATGGAGAAAAGGTAAGTAAACTACATTTTATCTCCAATCTGAGGGGGACGGGGGACCCAATGCTGTACTCCAGCACTATAGTTTTAGGAATACATATTTGTGTTCCTTTAAAATGTAATTTAACAGCCTATTATTTATATTATGGTGCACAGGGTCTCCAATACTGTATAACTGAGTGGCATTAGACACGCGTGCAGGGCTGTCTCTTCCACGAGGCTAACAAGGCATTTGCCTTAGGCGGCTCTTTCTGGGGGGAGTCAAAAACCACCGCCTCCAAGCGCCATAGCAGATCCCGTGTTAGCCTTGTATCCTGGGGGACCCAAGAGCTGGCCAGCTGGCCGCCATAGAGCCCCCCTCAGGCAGGCGGCACGGGAGCACTAATCTCTGAGCTCTTTCTGCTCTGCATCCTGCAGTGATGCCAGGAGCCGGAATATGACTTCACGTCATCACTAAGCGACGCACAAAGGAGCAGAGTAGGAAGATTACAGCTCCCTCGCCACCTCCATTGACCGCTCACCCGTTCGTCCGGCCAGCCAGCAGTGAATGGATCCCCACTGGATCCCATGGAAAGAGAAATTCCACTCCAGGACTCCCAAAAGTAGGGAGACTGGATGGATTGAAATTAAAATAAAAGAAAATATTAGTGTGTCTGTATCAGTGTGTGTGTCTGTCAGTGAGTGTGTGTGCGTCTTTCAGTGAATGTGTATGTGTATCTGTCACTAAATATGTATGTCTGTCAGTGTGTGTGGATGTGTGTCTGTCAGTATGTGTATGTCTGTCAGCGAGTGTATGTCTGTCAGTGAATATGTGTGTGCCTGTCAGCATGTGTGTCTTCCAGAGACTGTGTATATGCATCTATTAGTGAATGTGTGTCTGTCAGCGAGTGTGTATGTGTGGCTATTAGTGAATGTGTGTATGTGCATCTATAAGTGAATGTGTATGTGTGTGCCTGTCAGTGAGTGTGTGTTGGTCAGTCAATGTGTGTGTGTGCCTGTCAGTGTGTGTATGTCTGTCTGTCAGTTACTGTGTGTGTGTGTGTGTGTGTGTGTCTATGTGTTTGTCAGTGAATGTGTGTGTGTCTTTCAGTGAGTTTGTGTCTCTCAGTGTATGCTGGTTAAACAGTGTGTGTGCCAATGACTGTATATGTCAGTGTAAGCATTGGTGAGGGCTTGTGTCTGTCAAAACGCGTGTTGGTCTTAAACATGAAGAGTTCCGGCCTTGACAGGAAGTGGTGGGGAAAATTCAGATTGGGGGTGCCGCCTTTTGTCATGCCTAGGGCAACCAAAATAAACCAATGCACAAATGTTCTTGTCTCCTCTGGGAAGTGGCTACATATATGAGCTGTATTGGTGTGTCTAACTGTATTACAGAGCTCCACAGTAATAATACTCCCAGTAATGTGTCTTTAAATTACGTGTTTGGAAAATCAGCCTCTGTAAATAAGACACATTGTTCTTGTTCTAAATTACATTTTAGTTGCATAAATTGTTAATAGTAAGTCACCTAAAATTCCTCAGAGTAGCCCCGGCCCAGGCCACACCCCCACTCACACCCCTAAAATGAAAATGTCTTCTTTGTCCATGTGAAATATTGGGAAGTATGCAACAGGATACTATTGATTGACCTTTTTGTGCCAAAAGAACAGCAAAGGTTTATTTTAATTTTAATTTCTATTTTTTTTAAATATATATATATATATATTTGTATTTTTTTTCCAAATAGAAGGAATGGCGCATAACATAAAGCCACTAAATATACTGAAATGTATCAACATTTTAAACACAGAGGCTCTGTAACATGTAGATTCTTATGTGAAATAGTAACTTATTTACAGTTTTCTTTAGGTTACTTGATCCCCCTTACACATGTACGAAAACCACTAAATGGAGTTTGTGCTACAAATAATCTTAAAAAAAAAAAACAACAAAAAAAAAAACATTTTGTGTGCCACGTAGAGAGCATGTCACTTGACCCACAAAAACAGTTTCTAGGAACTTGAGTAAAGAGGAACATTGAAGGGTAGCCTCTAATCAGCTGGTATTCAGTCTGTAACAGGGACACAATGTTGCATTAGCACATATAAAAGATGGAAGTTAGCAGAAGAATCTGGAAGAAATCCAACCTTGATGGAGATCCACCACGAGATAGTTCAAAGATATTCATCTTCACTCTACTTTCCAGCAAACCTCGTCAAGTCCTAGTAAGGTCATTGTCCATTTTGTGTTCCTTCCTTTCCTCTTTGATTTGACTGATGTTGCTTTGTGCTCTCCCCACACCTATATGTCTGGTTTAACTTTCTCTCTCTTTTTTTCCCGTCTTATATTTTTTTCCCAATTTGTGTCCTTTTGCCCCTACTCTTACTTTGTTGTGTTTGATTCTGTTTTGCCATTTGTGCCTTTTCTTTACTATTTCCCCAACTTTCTTTGCCTTTTCTGTACTCCTCTCCACCCTCACTATAACATTAACCCCTTAAAGACACACCAGTATAGTTAATATGCAGTAATGACACATATTGGTATGTGTTTTCGTTTTGTGCGGGGGTTAAATCTTTCTATCCCTGGCACTCACCGGTAGCAAGATTGAATTAACCTAGAATGACAGATGAGCTGTATGTTGGTTCAGGTTTTGCCCTTGCACCCACTCACTGGCATTGGGTGGGGGCATCAAATTAAAGAGCGTGCGGTGAGCAGATCCCTGTGCACCCACCCGCCTCCACTTGTGCCCAGAAAGTGGGGCGATTACATTAAAATAAGTGGGGGGCATCCTAGAGACCCTCATTGTGTGTACAATTAATAAATGGGTGAAATTAGTGACATTCAACCTATAAATATAATAAACCCCAAGGGGGGGGGAGATCATTTTTGGGTTGCTGAAAATGGCACCCCCCTTCTATATTTAATGGTAGGTTAGGGGGATATTAGGCCCCAACCACATTAATAATATTGAAGCCCCCAACTGCTGTCCATGGGTGGGGGCAGAAATTAGGTCTCCCTCATTTATTATTAGCCATCGCCCATAGGTATTAAGGGGACAATAGGTTTCCTCTATTATTATTATTATTATTATTAGCCCCCACTCTAGGGTGGAAGTAGACACCATGGGGTTTATTATTTTAAGCCCCCACCCAGCACCCACGGGTGGGGGCTGTGTGGGACAATAGGTCCCCCTGGGTTTATTATAATTATAGACCACACTCATAGGCAGTGGGGCAGGAGTTGGACAGTGATCTCTGTACTAAAACTTCTAGTTGGCTTTGTACCACATCCCATTATTTACATGCTGGTGCCATGTAGGTTGTACAGCAGAGTAATTCTTTTTTATTTGCTCTGCAATACAGCAAATAAACATGTCAGCCAGCTCTGTATTTGCCCGCGAGGCAATGCTTTGTTAGCCTCAGGGCAGGCGGATAGCTGAGGTCCAGGCAGGTGGCGAGGGATCGCTGATTTGTGAGCTCTCCCTGCTTAGCTCCGTCGCGTTTAGCATAGTGATGTCTGGAGCTGGAAGGCTGGGTGGATTTAAATTAAAATTAAAAAAAAAAGTGTTGGGGGGGGGAAATGTGTGTGTGTGTGTGTGTGTGGCTGGCTGTCTGTCTTTCAGGGAGTCTGTGTGTGTATATCTGTCAGTGTGTGTCTGTGAGTGTGTGTGTCAGTCAGTGAATGTGTGAGTAAGTGTGTGTGTGTGTGTGTGTGTGTGTGTCTGTCTGTCAGTGAGTCTGTGTGTATGTCTGTGAGTGTGTGTGTGAGTGAGTCTGTGAGTGAGTAAGTGAGTGTGTCTGTCAGTGAATATGTCTGTGTGTGTATGTGTCTGACTGATTGTGTATGCCTCTCAGTGTGTGTGTGTGTGTGTGTGTCTGTCAGTGGGTGGGTGGGTGTGTGTCTGTCAGTTAGTGAGTGAGTCTATCTGCATCATTGTGTGTGTATATCAGTGAGTGTGTGCATGTCTGTCAGTGATTGCGTGTGTCTGTCAGATTGTGTCAAATCTGTGAGTGTGTGTGTATGTCAGTGTATCTGAAAGTGTGTGTCAGTCAGTCAAAATGTGTGTTAGTCCTAAACAGGAAGAAGTGTGGCATTGACAGGAAGGGGTGGGGCAAATGTAGAACAGGGGGTGCCTGAGTTCCGTCATGCCTAGGGCAGTACAGATCCAAAATACACCACTGATGTCAGCCTCACTCATGAGTATGACACTGCCCCTTTAAATGTTTGATAGCTGATATATTACACTTGTTTGCTTCCAAAGCATATCCTGGGTAAAAAAAACAAATACTCTATCACTGAAATCAAGTTGCCAATAGAATGAGATCTGAGAATGTGTCAATAAGTGTAAAAATAATTATAATTTATTTCTATCAATAATCCACTTGAATATTAACCATTTACCCACTTGTCACGAGTGCCATATTCATGATGTAATTTTGATTTCCAAAATGCAGGAGAAAATGTAGGCATATAGTTGTTATGGTGACAGGAGTCTAATGGCACAGTCCCCCGAAAAAAGAGTGAATCTGTTTTCAAACAATATGACTGTAACGGATCACCTGGCACCCCCACTGGGTACCTCCGTTGAAGGATGCTCCTAGCGCTTCCTGAGGGCTCCAAGCACTCCAGCCGACACCATAACCACTGTAGACTCCTTCAGAGAGCAAGACAGGAACAAGCTCTTACAAGAGCTCAATTATTATAGCAAGGGAATATTCAGAGCATAGCACTCCCTTGTAGCAGATCTCCCAATAAGAGACAGGACTCAGATTGAGGGTGAAGTAGAACTGACTGTACTGGCACATACAGCCTCTTTTATTGACATTCTACAAACATAGTACTGCCCACAGGGTTTTGCAGAACAACCAATCAATACGTACAATACACTCAGACACTCCCACACAAAATCCTCCCCTCTGCCTGTGATATAATTACAGAACACAATGGTCTAATGTAATTATCACAGGCAGGAAAATTCACAGTTTTGCACAATATTCATAACTCTACAAGTATACATCACATTCACATAAAATCAGAATCAGCATACTCCAAATACAAACATACGTCAAAAACATACAAATTGGCCCAGTGGGTCAAAAGTTAGTTGGAAATCCCTTTGTGACCGCCTGCAAGCATGGGTTGGTAAGCCGATTGCCTCCAGCATACAGAAAATAGCTCTATTCACAACAACAGTAAAAAAATATAAAAATACATAATTCCTATTATACTTAACAGAACCCCACATTCAACCTATCCCCAGATAGCTTGGATCTGAGCGCTCACTATATCCGAACAGCGCTCAGATCCCACAAACACAGTCCAATCGCCATGGGGTTAAACCATAGCAAGTTCCAACTGGTCTGGCAGTGTCCCTGGAGAACAATAGACAGGAAACAGGGGAGGGGCACACCTTCTCATGTATTCAAATGGGCAGAAAAAGCGTTTCAAAATCCAATAAGCCCAAATAATGTCTTTAAAGGGCAATACATCCCAGGGGCCATAGTCTCATGGCAGGAGGCTGGCAATCAGTCTTCTCCAAAGCCCAGTGGCGAGGTCGGTTTCTCCACAATGACCCTTACCTGGGTCCCCAGGGCACCCATTATCCAGTCTTCTCGTCAAATATCACTACAGCAGAAATTCCTACTACTACATAGTGATAGTAAGTGAAAAAGTACCAGTGGATGTTTTCAGCCAAACAATACCAACAGGAGAAAAACTTATATACTAGTAAGTAATGACATATCCATATCAGAGAAGGTGGACAGACTTTAAGCCACCTGGAAACCAAGCTAAGTATTAAACTG